TTTGTGAGAATTTTAACCTCAACACGCCTGTTGGCCGAGAGTCCATCACTGCAATTGAATACTGGACTGATGAGAAGATAAAAGAATTGGCCAGCAAGGAGAGGAAGAGTGTTAGGGGAATTATGTATGGAGGAAAAGGCAGTGAAGCTGTGACAGGGAAAGAAGAGAGGATAATTGTAGAGTTTTTGGACCCGGTATGTGGTATAATTGGTAAACTGAAGTTTTTATTTCGTAACCTGAACTTGTTATCTGCCATAGTATTGTTGTCATTTCCTATACTGAAGTTCTGATTTGATATAGTGACATAGAGCTTTGTCATTGTTAAGTTGTAATTTGGCAAACTTAAGTTGTTATTCGCAATACTTATGCTGTGATTGGCCATATTGAACTTATCAATGGGTAGACTGACTTGTGATTTTATATATTGAACTTGTCATTCGGTATAATGAACTTGTCATCTGCCATACGTGAGTTGTGATATGGTTTACTGAACTTGTCATTCGGTATAATGAACTTGTCATCTGCCATACGTGAGTTGTGATATGGTTTACTAAACTTGTAATTATGTATAATGAACTTATGATCTACCATATCTGAATTGTAATTTGGTTTACTGAAGTTTCATTCGGTATAATGAACTTGTCATTTGCCATACACGAGTTGTGATATGGTTTACTGAACTTGTCATTCGGTATAATGAACTTGTCATCTGCCATACGTGAGTTGTGATTTTGTTTACTGAACTTGTCATTCGGTATAATGAACTTGTCATCTGTCATACGTAAGTTATGATTTTGTTTACTGAAGTTGTCATTCGGTATAATGAACTTGTCATCTGCCATACGCGAGTTGTGATATGGTTTACTGAACTTGTCATGTGGTATAATGAACTTGTCATCTGCCATACGTGAGTTGTGATTTTGTTTACTGAACTCGTCATTCGGTATAATGAACTTGTCATCTGTCATACGTAAGTTGTGATTTTGTTTACTGAACTTGTAATTCTGTATAATGAACTTGTAATCTACCATACCTGAATTGTAATTTGGTTTACTGAACTTGTCAATATGTCATAGTGAAGGTGTCATTTCCCATAGTGAACTTGTTGTTGTATATACTTACTTGATTAATGTCTTTTACATACAGGAGCTGAAGAAGTTACGTGAGCGTCTAATGAAGAGGATAGAGGAAGGGCAAAAGATGCTGATGAAAATGGTGGATGAGGAGTTGGTGAAGGTGTAAATCCCAAGACAGGGAGATGGTGGGAAGGGTAAATCAAGAGGAAAGGCTCGGGTTGAGACAGTGCCTACAAATATAAGTGACTCTGAAGATGATGAGGAGGAGAGGCGCAACAATGATGACACAAGTGAGGAAAAGGAGAAGGATGAAGTAAGCAGTGAAGATGGAGACATTCATGGGAAGGGTGACACAGAGAATGACAGCGACAATGAAGAGATGGAGGAAGAGGGTCAAGGGGATGGTGATGACAGGAGCAAAGGGGAGAGGGATATAAGGGTGATGGGGAGGGTGATGACAAGCAACCACTTGTGATGGAGAGTGCAATACCCACAACTAGTTCCCTTATGGAAGTGGCAGGCAATATTGTAGGTCATGATGCAGAGGGTGACATACCTGCAGCCAGTCCCCCTAGGGAAGTGTCACCTACCATTGAAGGTGATGAGGCAGAAGGTCACTCACCGATGGAGGTATCCCCCTTGGCCATTGTTGAATATGTTGGGCCTGATCCAGACCTGTATCTGTGGAGGCACAACAACTAAGGAGATCTACTAGGGTTCGATTCAGCAAGATCAAGTCTCCTTGGTTGGAGTTGAAGGCACAATTAAGAGTGAAGAGGCCTATGGAGCCCAAGGATATTTTTTTCAACTTAGTCAGCCGAGCTGTCAAAGGTGATGAGGGTGAGATGTAAGTGAAAATCTTTGCTTATGTGATGTTATTTGTTGACTACATGTTAACATAACACATCTAGTAACTCACCTGAATATGTTTCAGTCCTTTGATCAGAATGTTTGATGAAGACATCCCCCGATGATTGCTGCATTCGCTTGGTGGAAATAATAGGGTGAGTAACCGAGTGATGTCGTTGGTCTGTAAGGCTTTGGTGCAAGAGCAGCAGGCAGTTGAAGGCCGAGTTAGGAGGCATATATTTGATGCAGACTTCATGGTGAGGTTTCTGTATTACTAATAGGCTTTGTTGATTTACAAGATTGGAAATGAAAATGACAGAATAAAGTGTGTTACAGTGAATAACAACTTGGTTTTCTGCATTTCACAGGCCATAATGACCCGTGATCCAGCTCGTTGGGATCCTAACCAGCATGCACGACAAATACTTCTGCATTATGTTGGCTACAACATAGGTGACTGTGACTTGATTCTGGGTCCTGCTTTAGTTGGGGAGCATTGGTTCTGTTTTGCATTCGAACCAAAGACCCAGAAGTTCAATGTCCTTGATTCTATGCGAGCAAGTTTACAGCGTAAGAAGACCACCTCCAAGCAGAAGAAGGCAGCCACATATGACCCCCAAGAAATGGCCATCACCGAATGTGTAAGATGTTACTGACCTGTGCATGTTAGATAGGGAAATGACAGTTTTATATTATTATCCTTTTAATGAATATGGCATATGTGCAAAGGGATCAGTTTGAAGACATACTTCACATGGTCAGACCAGATTTTAGTGATAACTTGGAAATTGTCCGGCCTGATGTACCACAGCAGAATAATTTGTGAGTGTCTACACCCTACTCATGTGATATGTTATTTGGCTGTGTTGGTTTGAGGAGCTGAAACTGTTAGGGTGGTGTTGTGGGCAAGAGGGACTGTGGTGTGCATGTGCTCATATGGCTCAAGAAATGGGAGCCTGATGTTTCCCTTGAATATACCGAGGTATTGACATTACCTTATTTATTGTGCAATCAAGAGTGACCACGTGTGACTTGTTTGGGGGTAAACTTGCTGTGCAGGCTGATGTGTCCTCTTTTCGGCGTGAGTTGATGTGGTGGCTGGTGAACCATGATGACAATGAATGCCGTCAGAATGTGTATGATCTTATCTCACAACCAGAGAAGGGCCGAATGACCAAGAAGAGGAGAACGTCTTTATAGAGAGCATTTAAATTAGGCTGTGACTTTTACTAACTTTGTCAATGGATTCATTTGTTGAAATTGTATGCCAATTATTGTAATGGTTATGATATGGTTGGATTGATGGTATAACAACACTTATATTTGGAATGACAAATTTCCCTTTAGTCAGGCCAAATGGCCAATGACAAGTTTAGTATGGGCAACGACAAGTTCATTATGGCCAGTGACAACTTGTGAAAAAGGTTTTCATACAAATTTGTGATTCTGTATTAAAGGTGGCTAAATTTGCACATTGATTCATGGAATGAGAGGTTGACAAAGGAAAATGACAAGTTGACAATGCCAAATCACTAGTTCCCAAGATGTTTTCATGCAAGGGAAAATTTCTATTCCAATTAGTGGAATTCCACTTACGATAATCACGGAATGACAGATTCACTAAGGAAATTGACAAGTTGACTAGTGAAACTTACAAGTTCCGATAAGGTTTTCATGAAACCGAGATTGTCTGTTGAGATGAGTGGATTCCCACTTATGATAATCACGGAATGACAAGTTCACTAAGGAAATTGACAGGTTGACTTGAGAAATTTACAAGTTCCGATAAAGTTTTCATGAAACCGAGATTGTTTGTTGAGATGAGTGGATTCCCACTTACGATAATCATAGAATGACAAGTTCATAAAAGAAAGTGACAAGTTCACTACCGAAAATTACAAGTTCGAATAATGTTTCATGAAACGATTGGATTTTCACTACTGGTGAACACAAAGTTACAACTTCAGAAAGGGAAATGACAAGTTTACTATGGAAAATGACAATTTCCAGAAGGTTTTAATACATTTTCATACTTTCGAAGACAGTGATTACATTGCACATTTCCAAGAGCAACCACTTCTAATCAACGCAGAATGACAAGTTGACATTGCCAAATGACAACTTTACTATGCCACATGACAAGTTCCTATAAGGTTTTGACACATTTTGTTTTCTGACAGCAACCACTTCTGATAAACACGAAATTACACTTTGCACATTTCTGACAGCAAACACTTCTGATAAACATGAAATTACAAGTGCACAAAAGCAAATGACAACTTAACTATGCAAAATAACAAGAAGTGACAAGTTCTGATTCTTTCACAGCAACAAGTTCTTTACAACATTCAATGACAAGTGCACATTAACTTACATCTTCCACTTAATGTCCCTTTGTCCCAAACATAGAAGTAACAAAAAATATATGTGCACATCTACCAACACCCTGCTCCTAAAAAAATTAAGAAGGATGAACCCTATATGTGCCAAAAAAATTAGTTGTCCCATTTGTAAGTGGAAGTCAACTTGGGTTAGGATTTTTGCATGTCCTCTTTGTATGTCCAGGATGAAGACATCTAGTACAATGATATATTTTTTTGTTGTGGAATTGTGATTCCTTTCTATTTCTTCTTGGTCTTCCAGAAGGCCTAGCAGTGACTGGGGGTAAAAGCAAGGGTTGACCAGTAAGATTCTCAAACATATAATCATTCAGGTGAGACATATCAATTGTCACCACTGGAATCATGCTCCGGGCATAGATTTTTTCTTGGGATGAACGTTTGTAACACTCTTCAACATAATCATAAACGTTTCCCCCTATGGTCTTAATGGCTGCACAAGCATGTGAGCATGGAATCCCTAACATTTGCCAAGTTCGACAGCTACATTGGTGTAGGCCAAGGTCCACTCTTTGGTCTCCACGTGATGTGTGCATGCATATTCTTCCCCCTCCATAATTCTCACAGTGCATGTACCTACTGAAATACACATGCTCCAATACTTTTGCCTCTATTTTTGGCCCAACGCAATTACTCCACTTAGTCATTGCTGCATATGATGCATGCATCTTTCTTGCTACTTTCTCCCGGTGCTCATGGATCTTTTGGCCACGTTATGCTTCCTCTCCCTTACCATCCAAGCATTAAAAGATTCAGCTAAATTAGTTGTTATGTTGTCCCACCTTTTATATGGGAACTTGCTCAATGCCCACCTATCCACATCACCTTGATTGATAACCCACTCATATAACTCATGAGACATGGTTTTGAGATCATCCAGCGCATGATCAAACTCATCCGCAAGTCTTGCATAAGCCACTTTATCCAGTACTTTCAATGCATCTTCCTTTAAATTTTCACTTGTCCTTCTCCGACCTCTGTTTAATTTCATATATTCAGAGCTAAAGTTCTCCTTCACATGCCTATAACAGTATGCATGCCTTTCACACCCAAATATTGCTTGCACAGCACCAATTATAGAATTATGTCTATCTGACACAATAGTCAGTTGCATTGAACCAACTATTTGTTTAATCTTGTGAAAAAACCACGTCCAGTCATCAAGATTCTCTCCCTTCACCACTACTATTACAAACGGCAACAGCTCATTATCCGTATCATATGCCGAAGCTGACAGTAATGTCCCCTTATATGGACCACTTAAATGAGTACCATCAACATATAATATAGGCCTTGCACCGTTCAAAAAACCCTCAACACATGCACTGTATGCAATGAACACACGCTCAAATCTATTACCAATGAGGCCTATTTAACAACGTTTTGTCATCAGTTTCCTTCAACCTTTTACATAACCATGGTATTAACATATAGGACTGTTCTGGTTTCCCATGTATTTCTTCCATTGCCTTTTCTTTTACTCTATATGCCTGACAATATGTAAGCCTCACACCATACTCCCTCTCCAACATCTTCCTTATCTCAGTGGGCCGTTTTTCAGCATGGTCCCTTATCTCTTCAACTATTACTGATGATGTCAACGCAGCACTCCCACCATAAGTCACAATCAAATTGTCTTGGGCTGAATGAATGTGCTTATTGCAAAATGTAGTCACACGTAATAGATGACTGTTCTTTCTAACAACATTTGCACATATCTTCCAAGGACACCGTTCTACTTTACACCTCACATTCATCTTCTCCTTACTATTCTTGATATATCTCGCTACAAACTTCTCTGCAATACTGAACCGGTACACAGCTTCCCTAAAAACAACAGCATGTGGAACATATTGGCCCACTCCTACAAACACTCCTGCCCATTTCGTACAATTCATCTCGCCCATCAGTCTTCCCTTACTCTCTAAACCACTACACTTGCTTCTCTGACTTGATCCGCCTCCTTCAAAAGTTAGGCATTCAACTCCATTCTCAACATTCACTGGCTCATGTTCATCACCAATGGTCGTTTCAAATGTATTCATGTCTTGTGAAAGTCCAAATAAATTCTCACTCTTGCCACCATAATACCAAGTTAGGACAGCTATATTCAAACGACAGGTTTGAATAAAATAACATGTCTACATATCTAAATAACAAGTCCGCATATGGTTATTACAACTTTAGTAACTAAAATAACAAGTCTACATCTACAAACAATTCCTTGCTAAAATAACAAGTCCGTATGTGGTAATTACAACTTGAGTTACTCACATAACAAGTTTCCATATAGAAACTACTGGTTAGTAAAATAACATCTACATATCTAAATAACAAGTCCGTATATGATAATTATAACTTCAATACGTTGAATTACAAGTCTACATATGGAAACCTCTACTTATGTTTAATAACAAGTCTGCATTTCTAAAACACAAGTTTACAAATGGAAATGACATGTCCACTATGTTCAATAACATGCTTGCATTTACTAATTACAATTTAGGACTGCAAACACCATTAGCTTCGTTACAATATTTCTATGCGAATTACCAACAATATATTAGTAAATAACAAGATTCAATTGGAAAACATAACCACTTACACGTTTGGATCATTCCTTGCTCTAGGTTCCCTATCATTCCCTTTCCCTCCTACATACACATGACCACTACTGTCATTATATCTAAACAAGTTGCAGGTATCACCATCATCACAAAGATCAATGAATGTACTTTCATCAAATTTAACTTTATACTTAATCTCATATCCACCACCATCATTGCCTATCTATTGTGAAATTATTCCACACAACTCGTCTACTGTTATCCATTCTTTTATACTGGTTACCCTTACACTCCCTCCAATATATTTAACTATCCCTTCACCATTTGCTTCAAAATGTCCACCAATATGCACGTAACAGAACAACTTCTTCCCACAGCTTCTTCGGTTATTGAAATCCATTTTTCATACTAATCTGCAGCAAAAATTTACGTTTAGTCAGTACGTTAGCTTCACTAATAAATATTTACACATTTATTCCATTGACTCAACCATTTACATACCAAATTAAAAACCCGTGACCTCCTGTCTTCCCAACATCACTTTAGGGCTTCACAACTTCACTTTAGGGCTTGACGACTTCAACACCGAAAATCATGGTATCGTCATTCCCTCATTCCGTGGCAACACCTCAACCTTCACGGTCAAACTAACGGCCATTATCCAACCTACACTCTGCCAAACCACTACACTCTGACCCCTTCCCCATCGCAACCAGCACCGTGCACTACAAATGAGAGATGACCATTCACACTACGAAAACAAAAATATCCCACCTCCAACTAACCACAACCTCCTACATTGTGATATCTTTCATCTTCAACTACACCTCCCATTCCCTCCATTCCTCCAGCCTACTCACCCACACAGCAGAGATGAAGATGAAGAATGTGACGATGTGTAACTCTTACGGGGAACAATACAAGAGGGTTTACTCAGTAAGTTACTCGCATTATTGCCAATGTTAGAAGATCCCAATATCACACATACTTGTTTAGCTCATCCTACTCCACCAGCTCTCCCGCCACCCATTAAAATCCTGGTCTCTGCCTTCATTAACAGTAATGATGAGTGAGGGGCATTTCAGCCATTTAACACACATTTCATAATTGCAAATTGGGACCAGGTCTTCTGCAGCAATTTCTCAAATTCAGGGTCCCTGATTGCCATTTTATATATTGGGGGGTCTTTATTTGCAATTTTTTCTAAAAAATATTAGAAATGTTTTATAAATAGGATTACAGGAGTATTAATCATAATTATCACATTTTTTTTATGGCGGAGGAAGTACAAGGTCAAACAATAGTCCTGCAAGTAGTATTCACCAAAAGGACACTTTTTTTATTAGTTTTAAAAGATTTTAGAATTTTATGACAAAAAATATTTAAAAAAATATATTTTTCACCCCATTTTATTATACCAAATATGTAGAGATGGATTTTTTTTTCGGTAGGCAATATGTGGAGAGACTAGAGAAGGATTGAAACTTTTAGCACTAGTATAAATTGATTATGAATATTCCCCTTCTTTCCTTCTTTTTTCTTTCAATTCTTTTGTTTATATATATATATATAAATATATATATGTATTCTTCAAATTTTAAAACCATTTATGTAAAATTTAATTATTTGAAATTTTTATTTGTTTCAAAAAATTTTAAAAACTCAACTAAAATATTTAAAATGTTAAATTTAAAATTGATATAATTTTATATTTGAAAAATCCCATTTAAATTCAAGTGATTAGAAGAATATCCCTGCATATGGGTGTTTGAATTGGCTTAATAGCTTTTTAGAAGTAATTTTATAGGATTCAAAATAAGTATAAAAGATTAGTTTTGTCTTGATTTATATGAAAGTATTTTTTAAGTGTTTTTGAGAAATCCCAAAAGAAAAATTGAAAGTAGCTGTAGATTTGATTTCAATTTTAATTGAGATTTTTTTTTGTTCTTAAAATTATACTACCTTCTGTCCTTAATATAAAACCTCGTTTGACTTTTATTTTGATCCTAAATATAAGGCCCCAATCCACTTTGTCTCTAATATTTATGTATTTTTTTCCAAGATAGTTCTTTTAATAATGGTAGTTCTAGCCAATACACTTGATTAGTAAGGATATTTTAGAAAAGATAACACCTATTTATTACAAATAACTAATTTAACTTCTTTCCTTAATCTTCTCAAATTAATCAATTAGCTCTTATAATTAGGACTGGAGGTAGTATTGTTGATCTATATACGTAATTGTTTAACTATATACATATATATATATGTATATATCCTAATCACAACAAATATTTTTTAAAACTTTGCAGATTCAGTCCTTCAACATTAATCACACAATATAGTGCCTGTTTGGCAGGGCATTTTTGGAGCTTAAAAGGAGCTTATTGGTGTCATAAGCTCGATCTGTAATTTGTCCCTGTTTGGATAAGCTTTTAGTTTATTTAGCTTATAAGTCAAAAGCCAGTGAAAAGCATAAGCTGGGAAGAGAAGCTTATAACTTATGGAATCGTGCGTTTGCTTTAGGGTGTGTTTGGATGAAACCAAACCATGGTTTGGAGAATAGCTTCTGGAGAATAGATTCTGAAAAAAATAGATTTTGGAAAGAATAGATTTTGTGAAAAAGTGATTTTGAGAAGTGTGAGTGTTTGGATAGTTGTTATTAGAAGTACTTTTTATATATACAAATTGGCATAAATTAATATGATAATTATAGAAAAAATATATTTTATGATATATTTTAATTTGAAGGAATAAAATTATTAATAATATATTTTTTATTAACATATATTAATAATATATAAGATAATATAATTAATAAATAATTAATATGTATATATATTTATAAGATATAAGATTAAATATGTTTATAAAAAATATGTTTATAAAAAAAACAACAAGATACATATCTTATAGGTTCTCACACTCTCCCTTTTTTCTCCAAAAGTAAAAAATTTCTGCTTTTCCCAAAACCATGGTTTTGGAGTCAAAACCATGGTTTTGAACCCAAACCATGGTTTTGATTTTCTTAAGGGTGTTTGGCTAACATTTTTCCCAAATCATGGTTTGGGTCCCAAAACCATGGTTTGGGGTGCTTGCCAAACACACCCTTAGTAAAAGGTCCTGGAAACATTTATTGAGAATTTAATACCAAATCTGCCTTTTGGCTCTTCTCCCTCATACGTTGATTTTGTGCATTTTCAAATTTTTTAATATAACACAATTTTCTACAAAGTTATCACATGATAAATAACTTTTTTTATTAACGGTTTTTTTAATATTTTACCATATGTAAATGTAATATACACACACATATGTGAACATATGTATTACTCCCTCCTATTCATATTATAAATTAATTTAAATTTATTGTATTATGTAAAATTATTTTTTAATCATGTTTTATTATTTACTAAAATTCATACCCATTTTGATCATCTTACAACCAAACTTACTTTTACCTAACCATAATCCAAACAACCTTTTATCAATCTCACTTTTGCAAACTAACTTTTCTAAACCCTAATCCAAACACAATTCAGCTTATCCAATTCAGTTTTTACCCAACTTCACTTTTCTATAAGTCAAACTCACAATAAGCTACTTTTCCAATCATTATTCCATAAAGTTAGGAACTAGTTGAAGCATTGAAGTCACATCTTGAGCTAAAAATTCCTATGACGGGCTCTAAATTTAAAAAAGAATTCTTATAAAAGAGTTAAAAAAGAAGAAGAAAAAGAATACCTTTCTTCTTTTAGTAAGTGAATTTTATAATAAAATTTCAATGTATTTTTCTCTAGAAATTTTATATGATATAGATTAAAAGATTATTAACAGATAGTTATCTTTAATTTTAGATATTGATGTAGTTCCAAAAAAAATTTGTATTTGTTGATTTTATTTTAGATATTGATGTAGTTCAAAATTTTTTTTTGTATTTGTTGATTTTATTTGATTTGGATTCAAAAGTATATGAAAACTTATCATCGTTGACTTCAGAAAATTTGCATTACTATGATCTTAATAGAGGTATTTTATGTTTTTTTTAACAATATTAAAAAATTCCCAATGACTACAAGGCCCTTCGGCTTGACTTAAGAAATTGTTAAAAATATAGATTTGGATTTTGGTATTTTTTTTAATTAGATTTAATTGGATTTTCCCTTTATATACCCCGTTCAAAATAAATATTGGAGGGAGAGGGAGAGAGAGACAGCGCGCAATTTGATTGTGAACAATATGTTTTCAAATGTCACGCTGAGTGAGACTGAAACAGCAATATTTGAACTACAAAAAACATTGCTCATATGCGCAGAGTGGCCTATCAATGATGTTCCAATTCTATACACTTCGTTCTCCTAATTCTCGATCCCCTCTTATAAATGTTTCATGAAAATTTGATCTGAGATCATCTTCCAACAGAGTCCTTGACTTCTTCCAGGACCCATATTTACTTGAAATCTATTTTATTCCGCTAAAATCCGTTGATATCCGATCAGAAATCGTAGATTCATTCCCTCGCCAGTGTCTGAAGAACGAGGGAGTTCTTATTATTATTACCCAATTTTTGTTTCGCAATATACCGTATTTTAGTTAATTTGGTTAAGTTTCCTCGACTTGGCTCTTTCAAAAGCGCTAGTTATTTTATTTACTCTGCTTTCATTTCTTGGATTTTGTGTTTCAACCCTCATTGAGAAGAAATCCTAAATTTTAGTTGGGTTTGAGTGAGAGTAACATTGCTGAGTATATTCAGTTGCATGGAACTTTGATTATAGTTTTTTCAGAGATTGGGCTGAATCGCTGAAATGGGCGTGTTGAGTTTATATTTGGGCAGTGTGGGGGCGGCGTATAAGATATATTGAAGAAGGTGTTGAATTTTCTGGGCGCGTAGATGAGAGGGACATATGAAGGGTTTCAGTTACAATGAATGGGGGCTTTTCTGGGTATTCGTTCAAGTTCTGGTTCTTTAGACAAAAAGCTACAGAGAAGATTTCCACTTATTCAAACAGCACGAAAGCTTTCCAAGATGGTTAAGGAGAAAGAGAAGCTCTTCGTGTGGTTCATCAAGGTTGCTAAGCGAATGAGCATCGGAATGCTGTTACTCTTTGCCATTTCAGCTGCAATTTTCTTCTGGGTTTTGAACGTTGAAAAAGGTTCACTCCTCTCTCCTCCCCCCCCCCCCCCAAAAAAAAAAAAAAATTCTTCTTTCAATTTATCCTTTCTCTTCCTTGTTCCTCTATTTAAGCCTAATGTTATTTTGCAGTTGCATAGAGCACAAAGGATGTGTAGTTTGATGAATATCAATTGGATGATTAAAATGACGTTGTAAAGCTAAAAGGAGCTTGGTACTTGAATTCGTCTGGTTAAGTGCCAGTCGTGAAATGCGTGCCAATAATGTGCCAGCTTCTTTGACATATTCTGGATTGAGTGGGGTGCTTTTAACATTATTGTCTAAAAGAGTTTCGCCTATCTGTCTTCTCTTTTCTTTGTAATAGTGTGCCTGGTTGTTGCAGTTCTCATTTGACTTCAATTTTCAGACTGGCAAGTTGTTTTTATTATGATTATTTAGATGGTTAAAAGCGAATGTTGTGCGATTCTTCCATTGATTCAACTTGGCTCACTGGCCATACTGTACTTTAATTCTCTGCGTTGCTGAATGAAGGGGGAAAAAAGAAGAAAAACCTGTTTTGTGATTTACAACTTGATATTGGATTGCTATTTTTATTAGGTAATATTTGGGATATGGCTTGTTTCAGGCGAAGGATCACAGGAAGTAAACAGCGTGCAGAACAAAAATGTTAATGAAAGCATTGTGAACATAACTTCATATATGGCATTGCCTCCTCCTCCCCCTAGCCAATTTCTGGGCTACACTCTTCCTCCTGGGCATCCCTGTAATAGTTTCACACTGCCTCCCCCACCAGCAGATAAAAAACGCACTGGACCACGGCGTAAGTTATTTAAACTATTTTGTACTTAGTTATCTGCCGTAGTATCCTTGATCCCAGCATAAACCAACTAGTTCCTGAAGTTTTTGATATTGAAAACTATATTCTGAGCTTGCTGTACATTTCATATCACTTTATGCTGGTAGTGTTGTTTCTGAATATTTTATCTTCCTTGTGTTTTAGCATGCCCCGTATGTTACCTACCTGTGGAAGAAGCCATAGCACTAATGCCAAAGTTTCCATCACCGTCACCGGTTCTTCAGAATTTGACTTATATCTATGAGGAAAATTTGAGAAGAGATGGAGAATTTGGTGGTTCTGACTTTGGTGGATATCCTACTTTGAAGCAGAGAACTTATTCTCAAACTATACAACCGTCAATGAATATTCACTGCGGGTATGTTCTAGTTTTTGTTGGATATTTAACTGGAATATTCATATTTTTTATAGGTACAACATGTCTTTGGCCAGTATTAAGACATATTTATCCTGTACTAATGCTCACATCTGTTCATTCTCTATCCCATTAATCAGATTTGTTCGTGGAATCAAACCTGGCCGCAACACAGGATACGATATGGATGAGGATGACCTTCTGTATATGGAGCAGTGTACTGGCATAGTTGTTGCATCTTGCATATTTGGTCTGTGTCTTGTCATGCCAGCCTTGTATTTTCTCACTTGTTTAGGCATTTAATTTACTAATAAATTTAAAATGTTCTTCAGGAAATTTTGATGAGATAAATGAGCCATCAAATATAAGTGAATATTCGAAGAAGACTGTATGCTTCCTTATGTTCATAGATGAAGAAACAGAAAAATATCAGAGAAGTTCTGGCAGGCTGGATAGCAGCAAGAAAATTGGGTTATGGAGAATTATTGTTGCACGTAATCCTCCTTACACTGATGGTAGACGTACTGGGAAGGTCAGAATACATAAACTTGGCCAGCTTCATTGATTCTCTAAATATGTATGTTTTTCCATGTGATCTGATTGTTATTTTAGAGAACTATTGTATTTGGCAGCATTTTTTCTTCAGTTTAGATTGGAGGAGGTATACTGATCAGCCTTCAATACATGGACGAAAAAGAAGCTCTGATTAGTAGTAGATCTAATATTGGCTAGATGCTTTTGTGAGATCTAAGCATTATAATGATTTTAATCTTATCTTTGTTGATTGAGATAACATAGATTTTGGTTGAACACGTGTTTGTTTTTCTTAGCATAGATCTTTTCTTGATCTTCTCTGTACTATTTTACATCTTTTGCACAGATTCCAAAGCTTCTGATACATAGAATGGCTCCAAATGCCCGCTATTCTATATGGCTTGATGGAAAGCTTGAGCTTGTTGTTGATCCATATCAAATTCTTGAAAGGTATATCTCAATATGCCTCTGAGATTAAATATCCATGCACATCTAATATTTGCTTATTTTGGGTGTAATTTGCTTTCAGCTTCCTTCATATATCAGGATAGTTGTACTCATCTGGATCTGGCATAATGGATTATCAAATCATTGTCTTGGAATGGATTTATTAGATCCCTTCCTTCCTCAATCTAGGAATTTATCCCTATTCTCACTACTGATCACGGTTCAATTTGTTTCCCAAAAACAAGAACCTGATGTCTGCTTGTATTTGGTGAAATTCTGGCTTGATTTGTTACCATTATCTCTTCAAATGTATCTCCTCTGGTCCTCTAGTCCTTAAATTAGTTGATTTAGTTATTTATAGAACATATATGTTGATTTTTCTAAAATACTTTCTTTAGTCAGCATCTTACTTGGAATTACTTCTTGATAGAAATTTTCTTGATATATGCAATCAGTAGAGATGGTTCAGGTAAAAAAAAAGTATAAATTTGGAAGCCAAAGTAGATTAACATACTAATTCTTATATCTAAGACCAGAGAAAATACTAATTATGGGGTCATATTCATTTCCCATGGGACTAGAAAACTGCTGGAAATTGTTAGTTTGCATTCAGAGTTAGAGCTTGCCGGGGGGTGCTGTTATTCTTGCTCTGTCTTGCCAGAATGCTTGTTTTGGAACCTTTAACTACTTTGCTTAAATTTTTCAGGTTTTTGTGGAGAAAGAATGCAACTTTCGCAATATCTAGACATTATAAGCGGTTTGATGTATTTGTTGAAGCTGAGGCAAATAAAGCTGCTGGAAAGTACGACAATGCCTCAATTGACTTTCAGATTGAGTTTTATAAGAATGAGGGATTGACCCCATATACAGAGGACAAATATCCCATCATAAGTGGTATGCAAAATTTTCGTATTGGGTTAAACGCATATATTTTCTTGATTTACATTTTTATTCTTAGTCTTCATGGTTGATTTGCAGATGTTCCCGAAGGATGCGTAATTGTCCGAGAGCTTATTCCTATTAGCAACCTCTTAACTTGTCTATGGTTCAATGAAGTTGATCGATTTACGTCAAGGGACCAGATAAGCTTTTCCACCATAAGGGACAAAATTCGGTCTCAGGTGGATTTCCATTTTAACATGTTCTTGGATTGTGAAAGACGCAATTTTGTAGTTCAGGTAATTTATTATCTCATCGTGTTTTTTTTCGAAGTCACAATCACTGAAGTAAAGGAAAAGCTTTATACTATAGTGAGTGTGCAACTCTCTCTCTCTATATATACTCTTCTAGTTCTATTTATAAATCACTTCTAGCATGTTTCACACAGACTAATAAAAACTTTAAACTTCATTAACTCTCATTTGAAATTTAACAACCTTTTTCCTTTATGTCTATTTAATGTCTATTATACTTTACGTAAATAAAGTTAAGATAATAATAAATGAATGATAAAATTATAGATCTATACAAAAAATTTCTCTTAGTGTCTTATAAATAGAACCAAAAGATTATGAGTACACGATTGATACTCAATATTACCAATGGATGTGTAAAGTAAAACGAGAAACATTTCTTCAAAAGACTACATCCTGGAGCGGGAGAAGCAATCCAATGAAATATCCTCTCAAACATTCATATTATTCAATGTGGGACTTAGCATCCCATATTACCAAATCTCTATCAATTACTGACTAATACAGATTTGATTGCTGTACGATTTAATGTTAAAGAATCCAAAACTCATAGAAATACCTATTGAACCTTACTGTGACCAAGCTTGGTGGTGGCTGTGTATTGCTTGTTCTCTTGCGTTGAACTTATTGTAACAGAATCTTTTTATGTGCTCATAGAAATACCATCGGGATGTAATGGAGCGCATCATAGCTCTGCGTCCTCCTCCATCTGAGCCCCTATCTCCGCCTCCGCCTTCACCTCCACCACCATTGCCGATAAGTCCGCCTCTGGTGGGAGACCCTGGACAACCATGGAGAGATTGGAGGTCGGCCTCTATGTACAACCGCAAAGCTTTTCCGGGCAATGGAGATAATGGTGCAAATTAAAAGTTGTGTTTGGGTAATCATATTCGTTTTTTTCAGTTGACCTACGAACATTATTCATCGTTGAGCTGGAGGAATATGTGCAGGAAGGATGTGTTAAATTGTTTTTGGATATAGATACTCAGTTGTTCTTTTCACTTTGCTAATTGTTCATGTTTATTCATATTTTTGTTGTATATATAGTAAAATTTTCAATAATTATTTTATATTGATTTTATTCTTCCATTGTAGAAAAAAATGTATTTGTTGTCATTTCATTTGTATTCTAGGAAAGCCATGTATCTGTTCTCTCATATTAATAAAGTGACTTAACAAGCTTTATGGAAGTTTGATTAACGGGTGGAAGTTTGATTTTGCTCGGCAAGTTTTTACATGGGAGCTGAGGATATTTATAAGTCTTTTTATGATCAATATCTTCTCAGAAGTGTTAGGTGCAAAATCACCCTAACTACTAAAAGTTAACGTTGATCATTAATATTTTTAATGGTTAGGGGTAAGATTGCTCTCTTTTAAAAATTTCAGGGTGATATTGATTCTAAAGAGACAAAAAAAACTTTTGAATACCAACAGTTTTTAATTGAAAACTTTTGGAGCAAAATTGCACATTAAATCTTGATTAATTTATCTTTTGAATAAATGTTTAGTGTTTTATTTATATTGTTTAATATTAACTAGAAAAATTTCAAAAGGGTTATTAGTAGTTGATAATATTTAAAAAATTATTGTAAGAATTTTGGACAAATGACACTGGAAGGCAATAGACTGAAGCTTACCGTATATTCAATTAAAAAATCAATCGAAACTGTTACCCCCCCCCCCCCAAAAAAAAAAAAAAACTAAGCGTGTTTAATATTCAAGAGCTTTCATGTTTCATCCATTATGTAAGAAAATGACAAAGCATTACGGCTTCAAAGAGTTTTATGAAAGCTAAATCAAATGGAGATGAAATGAAGATAAATGGTGGTTCTTAACAATGAAAATTTAAATTCACATATAACAAATATATTTTGAATTACAAAATAAACTAATATATTTGTGGAGTTGGCGTTATTAAAGGCGTCATCGTCATTGATCTTAAGATCAAACATTTACCGTTGAGATGGGAAGTCAGAGAAATGATTTCTCCAAAAATCTTGTTTTATATTTTATTAAAATCAATTTCTCTTGATCATTAATAATAATTAAACCATCAAACAAGATAAGAATATTAATAACTTTTTTATGAAATTAATAAAACAAATAATAATTGCGTTACTGTAATACATCATAGAAATCCAAAATGGACAACTTGATTTGTATGAACACCTTCAATTATAATTATAGGAGTTTTGAATTTGAATAATCAAATAATGAAATTTGATCATGATATAATTAATAACTCATAATACAGAACACTTAAATTAAATCTTATAATAATGTCATTAACTTAATTGATTTTGTATAATAAAATTATTTATTATAATCTATTCAAATAATTTAATTATATATATTAATTAAATTTTATTATGATAATTATTTTTTAGTAATTATATTTTTTTCATTATTTGTAAATGGTTTCCCTCGAATATATAAAAAACAGATAGGTATAATATAATATAATATAATATAATATATAATACTTAATCAATGTTAGTTTAAAATAAAAATTAAATTTAAAAATTAGGAGAAAATGTATATTTATAAAAAAATTTTAAGATTTGAAATTTGTTTATTTTGAAATTAATATTATATTTAAAATAATTTTTGTAGGAATAAAAATTATAAAATAAACAATAATATAAATAAATAAAAATCATATTGTCATGTTAATAATTAAACTTAAAATGATATATAATTTGTGTTTAGCTTGTAATAGTATTTTATATATCGTAAGATTGAAGATTTATTGTAGCTCAATTGATAAAAACTTAAGCTCGGATACATGAGGTCAAGGCACTACTACAAAAAAGACCTTTCACGATGCTAATTTACAGCGATCATTAGAAAAAACACTGTAAAAAACATGACGGTGGCATTTTTGTAATTATAAGAATTAAATTTTACTTTTCATGGCAGTTATTTAAAAAATCGTCCTGAAAAGTATTTTTAACAGCGGTTTTTAAGAAAACCACTGTAAATAAATACTTTTAACGGTAATTTTTAAATAACTGCCTTAAAAAGTCTATCAGAATTTTAAAACCCTATCTATCGCACAATAATTTTCACTTTTCAGAGTCAAAGCTCATAGTCCCCCATTACCTCCCCACTCGATTTTCTTCCTCCTCCTACTTTTGCTAGCGTTTATCCTTTGCTTCTATCATCTCTGCCATATTCTTCCATCACTGTCGCTGCTGTTGTTGCCGTCGTTGTTGCTGTCGCTGTTGTTGTTGCCTCATCCTCATCCTCATCCTCTTTATTTTTATTTGTGAGTTTTTCACCCTTTCTCTTCTATTCTTTCCATGGGTTTTATAGTTTTTGTGGTTTGACAGCCTAAAATTCATGACTTTTATCATATCTGATTTTTTGATTTTACTTTTATTAAATCTTAATAGCTTTGATCTGGTGGTAGAAGGCGAGGCAAAATGGCGCTATTACGGCGGAAAAGAATCTACGTTGGTTTCATCATAATGGTTTTAACTAGTAAGAGGTTATTGGTTAATTGATTCTCAAACCCCTTCCTTTAGGGCTTTGTTCTTCCATTCCATCCTGATCAATAGGATGAAAGTAAACTAAAACAAAAAAAAACTTTTCACGACGGTTATTTATATAACTGTCGTGAAAAGTCACATACCATACGGTCCTTCAACCACCATGAAATCCTTTATATTTTATGTCGATAGCATAAATGTCGCTCTTAAAATCGCCGTGAAAAACTCATTTTAACCGCCGTTAAATATCTTTTTTGTAGTAGTGAAGGTTCGAATCTTGGAAAAGTCACATTCGACAAACTTTCCATGGCTCGAATTCTTGACCTTGTGTGTGCTCGTTTAAGTCTTTATCAGTTCAACTGCAATAAATCTACAATTTTTTTAACACAAAATTATACATATACATAATTTTAATTTTAATTATTAACAGAAGAAAAATAATTTTTACTCTTTATTATAAATTAAATAAATGACATGCAAGCTGATAGTTAAAAATGCTGGAGCACCACATCAACATAAAGTTGGTGAAAGATGGAGATTTAACTGTCAACATTATTTGATGTTAGAAAAGGACGAGATTTCTACGTTCTTAATACTTCAAGGATAATATTAACATTAAAAAACTTCTAAATATGCACAACTTTTTTGTGAAAACTTTTGAGAGAAAAATAACCCTTGTCCCTTTTCTAGAGAAATGGTTTAATCACTAAAAAAAAATTAACTTTCAGTGCCGATAAAAAGTCACCGTTGAACAGTCGTTGTCGTAGTGACCGTGGTTGAAAACTTTTAGTGGCTACAAAAAAAGTCACCACTGAAAGACACTTTTAACGGTGACTTTTAGAAGTTTTAGTGGTGACATTTGTGGCTACTAAAAGCCACTTTCGACGGTGACCTTATTGTCGCCACTGAAAGTTGCCGCCAAAAGTGACTTTCAGCGGCGACTTTTTTGTCGCCGCTGAAAGTGATGTCTAAGAAAAACTGGCTTTGATGATGCCATGTCATCACTGCCAATGCCATGTCATCACTGGCTACCTCCACCTCATCACTGCCAGTTGTCACATCATCACCGACCGGACACCACGCCATCACTAGCCACCTCCACGTCATTGTCAGCCACCTCCATGTCGTTGTCACATCACCACTCTCATGCCACGTCATCCTCCCTGCCACGTCACTGTCCAAATATTTTCACCTTAAATGTGTTTTCTTCAATGTTCGAACTCGTGACCCCCTCTTTTCGTGTACAATCTACTTGCCATTGAGTTGGATTAAATTTGTTTATTATTATTGTAAAATAAAATATATATTATTAGATTATATTTTCAGCGACGACATTAGAAATTCACCGTTGAAAGTCAGACCTTTAGCGTTGACTTTATGAAAGTTGGACCTTCAGCGGCGACACTAATAGTCGCTGCTGAAACTCTACTTTTTTGTTGCCGTAGAAAGTGGACTTTAGACGAAGTCTTTTTTTTTTTTTTTGGTAGTGAATGGACCTTTTGGGCTTCAAATCAATTAACATGAATTATTATTTGATACATACACTTGATATAACAGGTTTATGTAAATTAAACAAAATAATTATGTACTCAATTTTGATATATAATATGTTATAAAATGAATAGGTAGCCTCACTATTCATAAACTATGTGCAAGGTTATTGCTTTGGCGACAACTTTCAATGGCTTGAGAATCTGCCTAGTTTTAATACAATTCAAAAGAGATACATGTAATTTATCTTAATTTCAGCAATCACACTGTTATACTCTTGGGCACTCCTCTTCCAGTGGTCCCAGGTCCTGAACTTGGAATGAGCAACTCATATGGTGAAACTCCAGCACCACATCTGTTTCTTAGCTTTGGATCACTATTTCTTCTCTCAATCTCTTTCTCAATACTTCTTATCTCCATTGAAAACTCATAAAATGCATTGACTATCTGAGGATCCCCCACCCAACTTGACAAATCATTTCTATCTCCAATGTACTCTTCATCCGGTGAATGTGCAGAAATTATATCAATCACGGCCATGAACTTTGTTGCCTGAAATAAACTTGGTAAAGATGACACAAAGTACTTCTTTGGGTTCGTCACAAAACTTGCATAGTCCTTAGGATCATTCTCACTGGGAATCAATCTTCTCATTAATGGTGGGCGAGTTGGAACATAACCTCCAAATGGGTATTGTCCAAAGTTCAATGCAGCATGCTGTGCTGATACGATCCAAATTATTGTGGAAAGTATGAACATAAGATCGTCAGGAGTTTCAAGTTTTGGCCACCAAGGAGCATCTTTAAGATCAGCATGCCCTAGATTTATGGATTCTCTGTACCATGATTGGAGCTCGTGATCTAAAAAAATTGCTTTTGAATCTTTATAGTAATAGTCTACATATGTTCGAACCAACTTCTCTATGCTCGACCATATCAAAAGTCCATCAGATGCATATGGATATTCTTCAATAAGTAGCCTAACTCCATGTGGTTGGCTTGCATCAGGAACTGCCACACCTCTGAATATAAAGAAGAAATTGTTCATATAGTGTCTAAAAAAGGAAATCCATAAATATTTCATGATATTTGGTCTATTTAATTTCATGAAACAATTCATAGTTGATCATTACCTTCTAATAAGATCAGCTGGAAGAGGCTCAAGGTCAAAGCGCCACCAATCTCTATAAGCAGCACAACTAATTTGCATGCAATATTTGCCAGGAGTGAAGTCTGATTCAATTATGCCTCCTGCATTGATGAGCGTCTCACGAGCCATTGCATTTATCTTCAAAGTGTATCTCATGTGAGGATGCAAAAGCTTGAACACTGGATGTATCACACTCAGTTGTCTGTGTGTGGCTATTATGAATGGTTCCATGCATGCATGTGTCCGCAGCCTAAATTTACAGGTGGGATTTGTTAGAAAGCCTATACAGACTAGTTCGGAAGACTCAATTCAAATCTAAAATTGGGTTTTGCAAATGGAACCAAAAGTTACTTTCAGAAAACTAGGTTTTTTAAACAAAAACTGGTTTTGGAATTTGGCATACTTCAAATTATAAGAAGCCAGTTGCTCACAGGCCATGAAATTGTGCAACTTATTGTTTTAGACTTTGTATTGATAGATGATTTAAGATCCCTTCTAAGTTATTATTTTTTGAAGGAAGACAAACATATATAAATTGCATACCAATGGTGCACAAGCTGATGAACACCAGCATCGTTAGAGCAAACATGGGCTTTGGCAAGCTGCCATAACCAGTTGGAGGTGGCGTCCATTGGAAGTGTGAGGACCCGCTTTGAAGGAGTATTTAGATCCTCTGATGGAAGAGTAAGCTCAACGGCTATGGGTTTCAAAGTGCCCACTTGTGTTAGAAAGAAAAGTGTGCGCGTTGCGTAAGTTTTGCGATCCTCAAGAGCATTTATACGATCCAAGAACGGAAGGTAAAAATCATGGTAATCCAATATGAACAACTTGTTCTCATTCAATGCCTGAAATTTCAAAAACAAATATCATTTTTTTCCATATATTTTTACTTATATCTTATCAATTAGTCAGTTCGATTGGTCAGCCAACAAATTAACCTTAATATATGGTTTGAAGCTTCTCAATCTTGTAAATTCATGTTGAGTGAAAACATCTCGGATAAATTTACACCTTAATCCTAGATAAATACCTGTTGGACGTTCATGCCTTCAAGATGATCTTTGATGTGTTCTTCCTTGACTGCTGATTCTAGTGGACCATAGATAGAGGGATCTAGCTTGCTTTTAGGTGGAAATTCCTATTGAAAAAATGACAGTTAATTAGGAAAGCAAATAACATTCAAATTCTAATAACAAAAGTGGATCCGAGTTGATACACCATGTAATCTTAGTTAACAGTAATTTTATGCGAAGATATCAAACTATTAACATTAAAAATACTTTCAATTTGGATGAGGAGGGTATTTATTATATACTCCTCCGATCTTTAATATAAGACTCATTTAACTAATTTGATTAGATTAAGGAAGTTAGGTAAGTTAGTTAATTATAAGAAAAGTGACACATTTTTCCTAAAACACCATAATCATCTTTTTTAATACCCCCTCTCCCTCTTCTATTTGATCATGGTTGAGGGAGTATCTATAAGGGTAATTTAGAGAAAATTGATAAATATAAGAAATGGGTCTTATATTTAGGATCAAAACCAACTCAAAAATTGGGTCCTATATTAAGGACCGGAGGAGTAGTTACCTTGAGTATTTCAATGCTCAGAGGGTTTATACCAGCAAGCATTTGGCGTGCAAATTCATCATCTCGTAAGAAATAAGATGTGCTTCCTGAAAAATATAAAGCTCCTTTTAAGTATCATTTAATATCTATATAAAAAGATGCTACAATAAAAGTCATAACCTAAAAGATTGATTTAATAACAGTTTGTTTTTTACAAAATTTTCTGAGAAATGATTTGTAATTATGGATTCAAACAATTGCAGTTAATTATATATATATATATATATATATCAAGTACTTTACTTACTTGGAGATATCTTTGGAGGGTCGAATTTGAGAAATTCATCAATGATGGCTTGCAAATTATTGAAAATCTTGGGCAGTGATTTTACGGACCTCATTCCAAAATTTGATGGTTCTTTAAAGATGTTGTCAATTTCCGAGACTTTGTCACTGCCAGAAATGTTATCTAACAAAGATGGAACAATATTCCTGAGCCTTCCTTTGAATTTTCCTTTGTCAACAGTTTCTTTCTTCGAATCCTCCAATTCCTCATCCCTTGGAACATATATTGATTCGAACTCAGGCAGCCTTGATTCTGCTGTCTCGTCTGTTCATACAATTTGCATTAAACTAGTTAAGATAATACTACCTCCGATCCTAAATATAAGAGTTAGTTGATTAATTTGATAATATTAAAGAAATAAGTCAAGTTAGTTATAATTAATAAATAGATATTATCTTTTTTAAAATATCCTTACTAATTAAGTGTATTGGCTAGAACTACCATTGTTAGAAGGACTACTTTGAGAAAAAATATATAAATATGATGACAAAATGGATTGAGGTCTTATATTTAGGATCGAAATAAAAGTCAAATAAAGTTTTGTATTAAGGACTAGAGGTAGTAGTTGATGTATTAATGGTCTAACCGTGATTAAATCAAAGTCAACCAAATCACGTTTAAAATAACATAATTTAGTTAAAATATACAAAAAAAATATTTATATATAATACCAAAAACGTAAAATTTAATTAAAAAAATCATCAATCCACAAGTAAGTAAATGATAATCACATATAATCAAACTTTTGACTATAAAATATAGAAATCCGATCTACTTTTTAATCTCACTTTGGGCTCACCAAAGGCAGAAAAAAAATAAAATTAATCTCAGTCAACCCATTCAAAACTTTTGACGGTATCGATTAGAGGATCGATTTCGCCAATTCATTAGTCTAACCAATTATTGGAATTGGGTTTTACAAAACTAGAATTCTATATGTTTATAACCATAGATCAATTGGTGCACAAGGCTTACCCGTGGCAGTAGATGGACGACCAGTACGACATCTTCTAGGATGAGGGTTAGTGAGGCCACCAAGTGTTGGTCTTTTATATTCTTCTCCTTTGTCAGGATCACCCAAATCATTATAGACATCATAATCATATATGTTTTCAGAATGAATCCTCATTCCTTTGCCATCACCTCTTATCTCCTTCAGTTCTTGTTCTCTTAGGCCCTTTAGTCCTTTTGGTGTCTCACATGGTAAATATGCCTGTTAAATTAAGTTTATGATGATCATGAATATTAGTTTGATCTTCTAAAGCATTCGATTTTGAAATTTACATGTTTCTATACAAAAATGACCCTTTAACAATTATACTATAGTTTGTTAAAAAAAAATTATATTACAGTACTTAATATAAAACCTAATAACCTAATTTACTAACCTGGGGAGATTAAATAGGATAAATAAATTACTTTAAAGTATTTATATTTATCGTTTTTTTTAAAATTAATTTGCTTGACTTATAATCTAATATATTCCTTCCGATTCTTATTATAAGCTTTAAATAACTAATTCACAGATAACAAATGTGTGGGAAAATGTAATAAGAGAGACATGGTTTTGTTTCCAAATATGCCTTGCAATAAAAAAGAAAAAGAATGAAAGAGAATGTGTAGAGAAATGTAATAAGAGAGATTATGCCAAAAGAAAGAGAATTAGTATTTAAGCATAAAATTGAAAAAGTACTTTAAATGTTAAGACAAACATTAAATTGAAACTTATAAAATAAACTACACCTCTCTTCAAATTTAAAGCTTACAAATAAGACCAGAGGAGTATAATTTAATAATACACATAAGCATTTAAGAAAGATCATGTAATAAATACTATAATTAAATCATTTATTTTAACTTTGTTAATTTTTCTAAATTAGTGAATTGGATTTTATATTAAAAATTGGAGTTAGTAATATTTATCCTCGACTAATACTTGACCTCCGGAGCTTTGTGATACTTTATTGTTTTCATTATATTTTGTGTTTAAAAAAAAAAAAACTAAAACCTGACCTTTGGCAGCTAATTTTGTCATTTATGGTTAAACAATTATATATTTATTTTCATGGGGCCTCCGATTAGACTTTCTTTTTCTCCTTGTCCTTTATACAAAGGAACAATCATAGAACGATAAGTATTACACGCACGCAAGCATCCTTGATATATTTTTCAAACTTTTATGCGCGTCAGCTTATTTCCACCCATTTCCTTTACTTTTTGAGAAAAAAATTACCCATAAGTTCCAATAAATAAAATTCAACCCAAATAGGTACTTGTTGATATTCTTAAGACTGGCCTATTAGTATTAAACAAAATTGGCAATCCATTTGTATTTATTTTTCTTACTTAGAACCTATAACTATTTTTCTTCTGAAAATAAGAACCAGAAGAATATATCTCAAATTCATCAGACAAATGGTGAGTGAGGATTTGAAAAGTATAATATATTTATTATCTTATTTTCCAAATTATTACTCTTTTCATCACATTTCATATTCTCTCTCCTATGCTCTCTCACCCTGATAATAAATAAGAGTATTTTTGAGGGAAAAAGTCACAATTTTTATGTAGTTATTGTCTTTAATTAATTTCAACTAATTTTTTTGATCCACATAATTTGATCAAATGTTTGTTATAAAAAGGAAGTATATCTCAAATTCATCATAGAAATGGCCAGTGAGGATTCTGAAAGTATAATATCAGTAGGTAAATATACCTTGTTTGTGAAGAATACAGTCTTGTGAGGTAGAATGGTATTTGGCTGAATCCAAGACTTGCAAGCAAAATGAACACATCTTTCGATGGTTATGCTTTCAAGGAAGAACTCAGTTTCATAATTGTTAATAATGGTGACTGCCCCAGGAATCCCAAATTCTGAGTCAACCTCAAATTCCACTTTGTAGGTCCCACACTCATCAGCTCCTCCAAATCTACGTTCCTTGGACCATTCCAATGCAGCTTCCTTGCTCAGCCTTGGTTCCAAAATCCCTTCGATTATGAAATTGAGTTAAAAAAAATTAAAAATGATAACGATGTTCTGGTAAAAAATTTTCAAGTGCAATAACGAAACAAATTGTTCTACTTATTGCTTCCTTGTCTCCTAACAAATTGACATGCGCCGTTCAATGTGCATGTTAAAAACAAAATGTTAATTATATACTGAGAAGAAAGAAAGGAAAAAAAAAATACCCCTTAAATATGCAAACCTTGATTCCGATCAAGAAATAACTTAAACACTATTGTGAAATCTCCAAGGACTAGTCTATAATTAAATTCTGCATTGAAATTATCTAAATGCTCTTTTTTTGAAATATGAAAAGTAAAAATAAAACGAAATGACAACAACGCTTTAACAAGTTTAACATATCAAATGACAACAACAATAAGGCAGTATTGAATCTCAATGGCAATAACAATTTAACAAGTAACAACTTATCTTATCAAATGATAATAACAATTAGGTAGTGACAACTAGTTTCACTAAGGATGCGCAATCAGGTCATTTCACAAAAAGAAAAACTTAATTTCAAAAAATTCCTAATTAAGGAATTAATCCATTTTGAGGAATGATTTTAAAATTCTCATATTTTGATGGTCCATTTATGTATATATCATATATATATATATACAGAGAGTAAATTATCATGACTTTTGGTGAGATGGAGGAGGGGTCCGCATCCCGTGCTCATCAAACTAATGACCAGGGAGTGCTCTATGTTTTGCGTGCTGAGCACTAATGAGGGACCTTTGATTTTTTTTTTCTTTTTCCTTTTCACTTCCCCCCCTTCTTTCTCATTTTAAAGAAAATTATATGTGTTAGAACTTTTTTTGGGTTAAGGTTTATCAAGCACCTTAAGGTATTTCTCTAAGCATACTCAGTATCCTAAAATATTTTATAATTTATCTAGAACGTTGAAGTATTTTCTTAGATGCTTTCAGTATATTAAAATATTTTGTGGTGGAATTTTGTCTTTAAAGTATTTTTTAAGTTAATTTTTTATCACTCATTTTTCATGCTTTCAACACTCAACTTCCATATTTTTAGTACTCATCTTTTAATACTTTTAATAATTAATTTTGCAAATTCTCTCATGGTAAATATCTTTTTAGACTTAACTTTCATCTTTTCAACTCTAATCTTCAATTATTTTCAGTACTGAAAACATAAAAGATAATCAACTTCACTAGATGGACTTTTTGGAAGGTAATAGCGAAGTTAAAATCGCTCTTGAAAATACTTTAAAAGCAAAATTGAACTACAAAATACCTTAAAATGCTAAATGCACTTATAAATATATTGTAAGATGCCAGATGTACTTTTAAAAAAACAAATCAATGCTCATTGCCCAGCACTCAAAAACGTTGTGTGTTGTGTTTTGAGTGCAGAGCTAGGAATGCGGTGGCGATGGAGAAGGAGACACTGTGTTATGGTGAAAGAAGATTAGTGAAGCCAATTGATTTGGTGAAAATATGATAGAGAACTTACTGTGATCAAGTTCTGTGCTAACGAGCTGCATAATAACAGCACCTTTGCTCTGGCGTTGAGGCCTGAAATTGTTGATTGCGTTCTTCACCATTTCTCTGGCATCCGCCTTATGCTGTCTCACAGAAACCATAGCCACCAGCTTCACACTCACATTCGTCCTCACAAGCTTCTCAACCAACGCAAACTTCACAGGCTTTAAGTCCTTGCTCAGAGCCGCCGTTATAAACGGCGTTCGCTTCACCGTCGTCACCGTCGTCGTCTTCCTCAGCCCAAGTTTTTCACTTTTCCTTCCTAGAGAAAACATCACCTCCAATTCCTGAATGGAATTGTGGTGGAAAGGAAGAACACGATCAACACGAAAGGAGTTCAAAAGCATTTTTACGTGCTTTCTTCTTCTTCTTCTCCTCTCTTACGCGCTTTGGTCTCAAGAACAACAATTACATGCATGTATATATAGTGTTATTCCGGGCCGGCTCCGTAACTTAAGGAAGCTCGCACAATAGTTCCAAATTCCAATGAATAGTGGAAATATAAATAAAAAGTCCAAAAATATATCACTTTCGCCTTACCACTTTAAGAAAGTCTACAATATCCTACTACCATATTAAGCTTTTCAAGTGATCAGCTTTAATTAAATTGATAAAAACGTGTTGTTTGTGTATATATATCTGTCTGTCTTTGTGTGGCTCGCCGCATCTTTAACACAATCATACAGTAAAATATTCAAATAGGATTATTTACAAAAAAGTGATATACTACTTCCGGTCCTTAATATAAGAACTAGTTTGATCTTTAATTTGGTCCTAGATATAAGATTTTAATCTATTTTATCTCTCATATTTATTCAAATATGATTATTTACATTGAAAAACTCATACTTAAGGGGTGTTTGGATGAAACCAAACTATGGTTTGAAAAATAGCTTCTGGAGGGAGAATAGATTTTGTAAAGAATATATTTTTGTGGAAAAGTAATTCTAAGAAAGTGAGAGTGTTTGGATAGTTATTATCAGAAGTACTTTTTATATATGCAAATTACTAAAAAAAGCCTAAGTTAATATGATAATTACATAAAATATAGATTTTATAATATATTTTAATTTGAAGGAATAAAATTGTTAATAATATATTTTTTACCAACATAATTAATAATACATAAGGTAATGTAATTAATAAATAATTAATGTGTGTGTATATATATTTATAAGATATAAGATTAAATATGTTTATAAAAAAATAATTAAGGGGTGTTAAAGTCATATTATTGTTGAAATCTACTCTGACAGGCACAATCATACTCTCTAATTTGAGCCAGAAGCAGAATGAATTTACTTTTTTTTTTTTTTAGATTCAAAGAATGGATTCACTTTTTCTGAAATCATAGTTTTGGATTATTTTTCCGTGTTTGGCTCACTCTTTTCCCAAACCATGGTTTGGGATGATACCCAAACACCCCCTTGAAATATCTTTTTTTTTTTTTTTAAATTCTTCTTCCTTTAATTTGAAATAGCTCTTGAAATAAACGTTGGAGAAGATACGTGTATGTGTATCGTACTCTTCTCTCTCTCTGTGTGTGTGTGTGTGTTTGGTTATAAATTAACATTCTTCCGTTTGAAATCGATGATGACACGATAGACAACAACACTGAAAACTTGGTATAAAACATAAGAATAACGCTAAAATAATTAATTATTTTTAGCAAGCTTTTATAAATAAAATAAATTGACGTAGCCAGCTTAATGATATAGACAACTGTTCATTGAACCCATTAAAAAGTGTTTTCTGTGCGATAAATTGGGGGGAAACAGGATCATGGAAATTTCTGTAGTTCTCAATTATTACTCCCTCCCGTTCAAAATATAAGATAAACTTTATTGGAAGGACTTTTTTTTTTTTTAATATAAAATAACATTCACTTTTGTCTAAACATTTGATAAGCTCTTTTCAATTTTGCCCTTCATGTATTCTCTTTTCTCTTTAATTCATTTATTACATTTTTTACTTATTCTTTTCATTAATAAGGGCATATTTAGAGGAAAAAAATGTATACCTTACATATTTATTGTTTTAAACTAATTTTAACTGTACATAAATAGATAAAATTTATTTTATATTTTGAACCAGAGGGAATATCTCCAAAAGCTCAAACAAATAGTATACGCAAATAGTTTGGAATGAGGGCATTTGATAATTTTAAGGAGTAGTATTAAATAACATTTAATAATGGATAAGATAATGTTACGATTACCGGTCGACGACCACCAATAAATTTGGTCCTTTGGAAATTTTCTGAAGTTTTCATCCAAATTTGTCTTAATAATTACTATATCAGTTATTACTTAGTGCATTGCTCAGAACATTAAAAATCAATTACATGTTTTTTTGGATACACTTGAAAAGAAAGCACAGAGAACAAAACTAAGCTGCACCCAGCGACCTAAGCATCGTCCGCACTGCTTCAGAGCTTAAAATCTGGAGACCCATTGCTTCATTCAGAGCATTTATTTGAAGATATTTAAAAATTTAGCTGAGTTGATTGTTTGTCACAACAAACGTGTTTTGATCTTCCTAAATTTTCATCTTCAATAATGTGCATTGGATGGTTAAAATTATCTCTGGCTGGGAACGCTTTACAATCACTAGGTATATTTTGAGGAAAGATAGGAGAAAAAATGCATTAATGTCTTATATTTTGGATCAAATTCAATCTCCAAACAGTTCTTATATTAAGGATTGGAGGTAATATTTTATAGTGATTTTGTTATTATGAATATTAAAATTGTGATTAGTGCAATTCACAGCAACAGTAGGAACATTCATATCTGGCAGTTCAATACTCCATCTGATCCTATTATCCTTTATAAATTGCAATATTTGTATATAATCTTATTCTGATTTGGTTCGAATGAAATGAACTTGCAATCATAAAATTGACTTGATCATCAGATTATACGAGGAATTTAATAACAATTAAAAGGGGTGTAACTAATACCCATTCTATTCTGAATTAGCATTTAAAACAAAAATGGTTTGTGAATCTTTTGTCACTTAATTTTCCTCCACCCCAATAATCTTGCGTATTGAAAATGCCTAGAAATTCGAGAATAAGTCTAAATTAAGGAGCTACTAAGATCAGTTAAGCAGGAGTTCCACAAGTAACCTAAAAATTATAAAACTTTCCTTACTACTACAAAAGTCATGAAACAAATGATTTACTTGCGCTATCAATTAATTTTAATTAATTTGATAAAAACACTGTATGTACAACTGCAATATAACAACCATACTTTTGTGAGTCTTTGTAAGTATTCTATGTCAGTGATAGTGATAGATATTATTTTAATTTGATACCTGAATCATCCTTGAAAGAGGCGTGATGAACTTGAAATTCATCATTCATCATACATCATAATATCCATAAAAGATGCAAACAACAAAAAAAGGCGTGTTTAATGTGAATGTTTATTTGTGAGAAATGGAATTACGTCAACGGAACCTAACAAAGTTCGTGCTTTCTCTAACAAAAAAAGAAAAGGGAGAATCCAATGAAAATCTAACTAAAATACCAAAATTCAAATTTAAGTTTACATTTTTAACAAATTTCTAATAAGAGCAAGAGATCTAACCAGGAATTTATCAATATTGTGAAAACACCAAATGCCCTTTTAATTTTTCAGCTATCGATTTAACTGGGAGTTTTCCTTTTACCATACTTTAATTTTTTTTTAATATATTCATTATTAACTTAAATATATTTTTTTGTGACTAAAAATTTGATTCAAAATATTTTATAGTTAAAAATTCAAATTAAATATAAAATCTGGGATAACTTTTCATTATAATGAAGAATTATATAATCTCAAGAATATAAAAGTATTTATAAAATTTAAATAAAATAAGGAAGTTGACCTAAGTATTTTCCTCAAGTTATCCAAGACTTTAAATTTAATTTTTATCTTTAACCATAAATAATTGAACTAAATTTTTAGTTACAAAAAATATAGATATATGTATTTAAGTTAACAAAAAATATATTAAAAAATTGAAATAAGATAAAGGAAAAATCCTAATCAAATCTAGTTAATACCTATCTTCAATTTTCTACCTCTGGGCATTTTAACCTTTTAACAACATTCACAATTCATTAATTAGGTATCTTGGCGTAATTAGGAGTTTTTAAAAAGTATAGACTTAAATTTAGATTTTAGTATTTCAGTTGGATTTAATTGAGATTTTTTAAAAAAAATGAATTAAATCAACATTTTTTAAAGAGGATAAATATTTAAGTTTGAAAAAGAATTCTTATAAGTCATAACAAATTAATGGAAGAGTGATCTCTGGGACCATTTGCATATTAATTTTTCAATGAGGAAGTCAGATCAATTTTTAGAGGGAGAATTGGTATGCAGTTCTAGGTAAGGAATATAATTACTAAAAAGTCTTAATAACAACAAAATAGCTTGCCATGATAAGTTTCATTGTAGTAAATGACAAATGCTCATTTATGATAGAGATTATTGGTAATTATTTTTTTGTTTAGAATCTCATTGTAATTCTCCCATTTTTATAGTTAAATCACCCAAAGCAAATCTCCATCTTTTAATAAGTATTCAATTCCCCGTTAATTAAGGGGTTCATCCTATTTTATGTTGGCTTGAAATAATGTTTTATGTTCTTTGTTTCTTTTCTCAAATTTTGTTTTGTTGATATGAGAATTCAAGAAAGTAAAGTAAAAAAGTTACTTTGAAAAATTGTACATGATTGGTTGATATTATTGGATGAAAATTAGAAATTTTGTTTAAATCTAATTCAATCAATGTTTATTGAAGAAAATTAGATTATTTGTGGATGAGAAGGTTCCCTTAATGATAAAGGTCAATATAATTTTTGATTTTTCAAGTTTGGTTTTAGTCCTTCAAGTTTTAAATCATAAGATTTAGTCCTTCAAGAAGCAACGAGGTCCAGATTTTTATTGAATAGAGACCAATGTTTTAAATAAAAAAAAACTTAAGAGACTGAAGCCTATGATTTAAAATTTGAGGGATCAAAACTAAAATGAAAGTACATTTGATGGATAAAATTATATTAACCCTAATGATAATCATTTCCTTGACAGAAAAATGATAATCATTTTGCAAAACCCTATTAATTGGGAAAGTTTTCTTCTTCTTTTTTTTTTTACCAGAAATCGGGAAAGTTTTCTTAATATAATCAAAAACATTTTATATATAGCTGAGTTGTTATATGTATAGATCTTCCAAGGTAAATTTCCCGTCTACAGTATTCTAACTCTTTCATAACTTATGGTTTGATTTTATTAAAAGAAAAGTGAATCACGCTTGGCCAATCCAATATTATTAGTAATTTCTTTTTAAAT